TTCTTCTCCTCCTCCCTCTCATTTCCTTCCTCTCCCCGTCTCTCAAATTTCCTTCCTCTCCCCCCGTCCCTCAAATTTCCTTCCTCTCCCCCGTCCTCAAATTTCCTTCCTCTCTCCCTCCCTCAAATTTCCTTCCTCTCTCCCTGCCTCAAATTTCCTTCCTCTCCCCCCTCCCTCCCTCAAATTCCATTCCTCTCCCCCATCAAATTTCATTCCTCCCCTCTTTCATTCCTCCCATCTCCCATTCATTTCCTCTCCTCGTCCTCAATTTCATTCCTCCACCCCTTCCCATTTCATTCCTCCTCCCCCCCTCCCATTTTATTCCTCCTCCTCCCCCTCCCATTTATTCTCTCCCCCCTTTCCCATTTCATTCCTTCCCCTCCCTCCCATTTCATTCCTCCTCTCCACCCCCCCCCACCCACACTGGGCGGGCGCGCGAGGGAGCACTCTCTGTGTTCTTCCTCTTCAACTACCTCGCGCGCCGCGTACTGATGCCGGAGCCGGAAGATGACGTCATCTTCCGGCTCCGGCATCAGTACGGTGCGCGAGGGAGCTGAAGAGGAAGCACACAGAGAGTGCTCCCTCGCGCGCTGGCCGACTGTCAGGGCCAGCCTCTGGGGGGCCCTGAGGTGACCGGCTGCTGGGCCCCCCAGGAGAAGAGGCTGGCCCAGTGGGTACATACCGGGGTCACAGGGCCCCCTGCGACCCGGTATGTACCCACTTAATGTGGGGCCCGGACGACCTGAGCAGTCCGGGCCTCCCAGGACCGCCGGGCCCATGACAACCGTTGCGGTTGTCATGCCCTGATGGCAGCCCTGCATGGGCCCATCAAATCCGTCTCTCAAAATTATACTGTAAATACTGAAATGGACAGGTCTCCAAATGGCACTGTAGTTTCACGAAATAGTGCCAAAGACATTCATTGGGGGTATCGTTTTAATGCCCAGCAATTATGTAATACGTATGTAAAAAGTGCCAAAAATAATTTACCACAAACTTTGACATATATTGGTGAAAATATGGGGGCATGTTAAGGCACAATATGCACCATATGAGATACCCTGGAGTGTCTACTTTTACAAATAGTAGGCCTTTGGTTTTTTTCTCAAACAGTCAAACTTCTATAATACCCCAAAATAAAACATAAGCCCATCAAATCCATTGCTCAAAATTCTACTGTAAATACTGAAATGGACAGGTCTGCTACATGGCACTGTAGCTTCACGAAATAGGGCCATAGACATTCATTCGGTGTATTGTTGTACTCAGCAGATGAAGCTGAACACAAAATAAAGTTTTGTACAGGAATAGCACACACCAACTTTACGAAATACACATGTGAAGATCTTTGTTATAAGTTTGTGTAACCTTATGTAAATAACCTGTGATGTATACTTTATATAAATATATACTTTTGTGTGGCAATTTTGTTTTCTTTTATGGCTAATAAGCTTAAAAGACAAACATACCAAATTCTAAAATCGCTCCACATTAAAAGTTTATTTTACTCCTTGTGTTTTGTGACCTGTAACTACCCAAAAAATCTTAAAATCCTAGACACATTATATATGTTGGTGCAATACATGAGTAAAATGGAAATTGCAGTTGAACGCAAACAGCAAAAAATGCAAAAATTGCTTGTTTACTTAAGTGCATGACAAGCTTTTGAAGCTGTGTCCTTAACCCCTTAAAACCGGAGGACGTACAATTACGCCCTCTAATAGGCGGCTCTAAACGCCGCCGGGCGTAATTGTACGCCCTCCGGTTTTTGTTAACTTACCCGGTCGCCGGCGGTCCCACGCCGGCGATCACGGTTGGGGGGACTCCCAGGGAGCCCCCCGCGGCACGTCCGTCCTCGTCGAAGCCCCCCGGCCATGTGAGAGTGGGGTCCTAGCGAGGACCCCACAATCACATGGCCAGGGATAGCTGGCTTCTGTATTGCCGGCAGGGGGGCTGCCTGTAATGACAGGTGGTCCCCCTGCTGGCTGAAAATAAAAATAAAAAAAGTTAATGGTGTAAAAAAAAATAATTATATATACTTAGATCATATATATATATTATATATATATGATCTAAGTATATATATACACATATACATACACACACATACACCGTCTAAGTGTATTTTACTATTAATATATATATAATTATATATATATATTAATATCAAATTACACGTAGACTGATACTGATTAAATATATATATAATTATTGTTATATATATTTATATATAATATAAAAAAAATAAAAATGTAAATACGTTAAAAAATAAAATTAAAAAAATAATTAAAAATAAATAATTAAAAAATATATAGATGTGTGTTATTTCGCTCTAACTGTTTTGTGAAATTAATATATATATATATATATATATATATATATATATCAAAATACACGTAGAACGAAATAATATATATATCTATATACATAAATATATACGTATATATCACTATATATATATCTATATATAAATAAAAATATTTTTAAAAAATTATATAGATATATACATATATATACACATACGTATATATATACATATATTAATTCTACATATATATTTATGTAATATTTTTACATAATTAGGTATCTTAATTAATTACAATTAGCAGGACCTGCCTGACAACCCATGCCAAAAGTAAAGGGAATTTAATTTGCTAGCACTATATTTAACCCTATAACTTTCCAAGACACCATAAAACCTGTACATGGGGGGTACTGTTCTACTCGGGAGACTTCGCTGAACACAAATATTAGTGTTTCAAAACAGTAAAATGTATTACAACGATGATATCGCCAGTAAAAGTGAAGTTTTTTGCATTTTTCACGCACAAACAGCATTACACGGACAATATTATTGCTGTGATACTTTTTACTGTTTTGAAACACAAATATTTGTGTTCAGCGAAGTCTCCCGAGTACAACAGTACCCCTCATGTACAGGTTTTATGGTGTTTTCAAAAGTTACAGCGTCAAATATAAGGCTTGTGTTTCATTTTTTTCACATTAAAATTCGCCAGATTGGTTACGTTGCCTTTGAGACCCTATGGTAGCCCAAGAATGAAAATTACCCCTATGATGGCATACCATTTGCAATAGTAGACAACCCAAGGTATTGCAAACAGGGTATGTCCAGTCTTTTTTAGTAGCCACTTAGTCACAAACACTGGCCAAAATTGGCGTTTTTTGCATTTTTCACACAAACAAATACTAACGCTAACTTTGGCCAGTGTTTGTGACCAAATGGCTACTAAAAAAGACTGGACATACCCCATTTGCAATACCTTGGGTTGTCTACTATTGCAAATGGTATGCCATTATGGGTGTAAATAACATTCCCGGGCTACTATACAGTCTCAAAGGCAACGTAACCAATCTGGCAAATTTCAATTTCAAATGTAACGTGCTATATTTGACCCTGTAACTTCCCAAAACGCCATAAAACCTGTACATAGGGGGTACTGTCTTACACGTGAGACTTTACTGAATATAAATATGTGTATTTTATTGCAGTAAAAGCAAACAGTATTATGACATTGACCGTTAAAATGTCATGTAGAACTAAAAAAATCCAAAAAAAAACGTATTTTCTCCCATTTTTTTCATATTAAATTATGTTTCATAGCTAAATATTTGATATTAAATGAAAGCCCTGTTTCCCCTGAATAAAATGATATATAATAAGGGTGGGTGCATTTACTATGAAAGAGGTGTATTACGGTTGGACAGACATGTAGCGCAAATGGCAGGTTTTGTTTACATTTTGTTTTGTTCACAATGTGTACATTTGGCTCCGTCCTTAAGGGGTTAAGGGGTTAAAATAAATTCTCTCTTTTGTTTACTTTGAAGCCCTACGAGCATGAGGACGTTGAGTGTCCATTAAGCGACTTTTTATACTGTACTTTTCTAAATAAACCTACTTTTCTATGAAAACTGAAGTTTTTGTTTTTTTGCTGCCCATATAAAGTAAACCTTGTTTATTTGGCCTATGTTAGCCTTTGAGGTGGACATGCTTGCTCCAGGAGATTTACCACATTACATTTTAATGCAACCATTTAATGTCAAATTGTCTTATATTATTTACAAATGTTGCTGTTATCTCACACACATTGTGCAAAACTTTCATTTTTGCAGTGTATCGTGAAAGTCAAGTATGCTACTGTAGTAAAAAAACAAAAAAATCCACCCATAGTGCCCTCCAGTGGCCAACCAGTGATTACACCTCCTCCTGCTAAAAGGTAAGCAGAAGGGGGGGAAAATTAGAAACAAAATGTGGATATATGTGTGGGGAGGCCTCCTTTAGTCACTTAATCTCCTCCCCAGCACACACAACACTCTCAGCCACCACACTCTGTCTACTCTCCACATACACTATTTAACCACTGCACACAGGCACACTCAGTCTCCTCCACACACAACACTCAGCCAACACACACTGTCACACTCGGCATTCTCCACACACACACACATTTATGGCACAGAACACTCAGCCAGCACATACAGAAGGCATACAACTATTTACTAAGCCCCTCTTTCCTTGTTTTATAATTACAGCCGCACCCACTGCCCATGTGTGCAGTTTGGGGGGAACACTAGGTGTCACCCCTTGTTGAATAATTAGTAGCTCCCATTTGCTGGCCGGGTGGGGGGAGTGTAAATGAGTCTTTCAAGGTAATTCACTAAAATGAGAATTCAAAGTGAATGCGATGTGAATTTCAAATTTAAAGCCAGAGTAGCCGACCTGAAAGCATAGCTGACTTAGAGAATTTTTCCAGTTCGGCTATTTTGACCTTAAATTTAAAATTCACTTTGAATTCTCTCTTTAGTGAATAATCCTGTAAATGTCAGAATTTTGGTCAAACCCAAAAAATGTTTTTCCCTAATAAAAAATAAATAAAGAATAGAACCAAAAATTATTTCTGTCCACATATCTCATATATATCTTTTGTCTCAATCCAATCCAATATCAGCATTTTCCAGGGGCTACACTAGTAAACAGCATTTTATATTAGTGTTTCAGACAAGAAATGGTTTTGATCATGTTTTACCCTCAGGAAAACAAGACTCCCAATTAACCCTTTCAAAATGCATTTAAAGGGTTAAATCATGTACCAGGATATTGCTGGAACAAATGCGTAGGGTGACCTGCATAAAAACAAGCACAGAATCACTCAAATCCAATGTCATATTAACAAACTTCACAAAAAGTTTATTTGATATGATATTAAACATTACACTACTATTATTATTTTATTATTTATATAGCGCCATCAGATTCCGTAGCCCTGTACAATGGGTGGACTAACAGGCATGTAATTGTAACCAGACAACTGGACGTACAGGAACAGAGAGGTGGAGGGCCCTGCTCAATGAGCTTACATTCTAGAGGGAGTAGGGTATAGTGACACAAAGGGTAAAAGTAGGGGTACGAAGTAGGTTGTTAGAAAAGTATTCACTAAGGGCTTAGTAGGTAGTTTTGACAGTTGCAAACAGTGTATTGCATTTAAAGAGGACTAGTTGCTTGTGCAGTTAATATAGGCGAGTTGTTCTGCTTGATGAGGCGTGTTTTGGAAAAGGAAACTTGGATTACAGAGTACACTTAAATGTGGAGTGACACTGTACTACTGCGATTCCTAGAATACAAAAATAGCATAAACAACATGAAATTGGGACAGTAATGAATAATGTGTTTAACATGAGGAAATCGTCATTCTCAGAACACAATGTTCCTATTTTTATGGCACAGGTTGTACTTTCAGATAAACTTCTTCCTCAACAAAGAAATCTGGCAGTAGGTTCAAAATATAATCTGCTGATTTACGCCACAAGATGCCTCATGTTAATAAATATTTAAGCTGGGTTTCAAGCACTAAAATAGCAGGAGTAATCCAGAACCCGTTTGTCTATCTCGCAACAGGCTCAACAATCTGTACCTTGTTACATTATAACTGTGCATTCTAGCTCAATCACTCGGAAAATTCTGACATTTTCTGGTGTCTATGTTTTTATTGTTCTCATGGTTGTTTTTAAGATAAGGATGTTTTTCTCTCCTACTTCAAGTGATGTCATGTCTGATGTCGACCCTGAAGGGGCGTGTGGGAAAATGGTTACTGCTGACTCTGAAAAGTTGAATAAATAACTGAGAAATAAATACATTCCCAGTGTTATTTGATGGATAGGTACTTGAAATCTGATACACAGTCAAACTGTTATGTTTTTGAATAAACAAAAAAAATCTTCTCCTAAATTTGTTTACATGTGTTGGCTGTCTAGTGGTGCATTTTGTGACTTTTTAAGTAATTAGAACCTTTTTTACAAAAAAAATGGGTTTTCCACAGCACCTGCAATCAACATGATTGGGTTACCAGTGCTCTCTTTTGGGCAAAATGAAGATTAATAATGTGGACATGTAAAGGCCCTAGATAATTGAGATAGTGAGACATTAGGCAGAGCTCCAATATGAGGCCCAATATTCATTTTTTGGTTTGAAGGACAGACTACTCTAAAAATAAAACATTTAATCACACAATCGGCAAGTCCACATCTGAGGTAAAGCTTTTTTTCCAAGTTTTAAAACGAAGCACAGGCAATCTAGAACAGGAGGGAAGACAGACAGAAAATGCATAAAAAAACCTAACATGGACTTATTTAGTAGTTGGCACTGGCAAAAACCCACTGATGGAGCCAATATTTACACCTAAATGAGATTTACTAGCTGGTGTAACTAAGCAGTGCTGCCATTAAAAATCTAGCTACAGGGGGATGGATGTGTGTTCTATGAGCTCCAAGCCAGATCGAGGAATTTCAGCCTTTTTTTCTTACCTGTGTTGCCTTTATTGCTGCAATACAAAGAAATCCTGACCAGAAAAGCCCCAACTCGAACGTGACATCAGACATCTATTCCACCAGTCACATGGCGCTGTCAGGCCTACTGTGGCCTCCTACATGGGGGTTGCTCAGACTTGTCAGATGAGTTATCAGCACAAGCTAAGGATGAGTTGCAATCTGCTTAGCCCCACTGTCAGCGGATTGCTCGATGGTAACCATGGCTGTATTTAAAATAAAAGATGTAGGTGTGCAAATAATCCCTTTAAAAAGTGTCAGTGCAGGAAACGTGACAATGTATCTGGAATTCCCAGAGATAGACACTTAAAATCTATTGGTGACACAAAAAAGTTCTGCCAATGTCACACTGTGAAAGAGTACATAGTCTTATGTAATGAAACAAAATTGTATCAAAAATCTATAATACATAAACATTAACACAGACCTAGTGCAATATAGCCAGAACACAGTATAGAAATGTGGTGCTCACAAGAATTACACTCACAATTGTGGAATGGTTATAGTAGCACTCTGGACTCTCAGGCTCAGGTTCAGACCCTAGAGACCGTTGGATCCTAACACGGGTTTTCAGATGAACTCACCGCCAGTCGAAAGCTTCAAGTTACAGGCTTTATTATTCACAAATTCAGTAGTGTTAAAAAATAATATTAAAATCTCACTGCACTTGGAGCACTTAGAGCAAACCAACGTCCTGGTTACAATATGAGCGTTCTCTCTGTATCCTTAAGTTGGTTTCCGTCTCTCCACATGTGGAGGGACTTCGGCGTGTAGCTGCGTGTTTCGCCCTGCCTCTTGGGGCTTTCTCAAGCTTTGTGTATTTAAGACCCTGCTAGCTAATCTACAGAAAACAATACCAGCTGATGTTGCAGCTCTACAGATGGAACTCACAGGCCTCACAGGATGGCTCAAGGCTGTGGACATACTCCATGGCTCACAATGCTGCAGCAATCAGCCCAGGGCGTGCAACACATTCCGGTTGTGCATGAGTGCCGCTTCCCCACCCTTGAAGATGCATGCCCAAAAAAACCCTTAAAATCCAGGGCTTCACATAGAAATTTGAGACTGAGGAACTACTGAGGAAAGCTCATTACTGAGACACCTGTGGGTGCAAGGAAAGGGGTTTGGTCAATATTATTTTATATGTAGAACACAGGACAGGTGGAAAAATCTTTTCAAGCACAGTAGTCAACTTGCAAATCTTTGAGATGCTCATTTTGCGTACAACTTAAAACAGCCTCAAAGGAAAATAATAATTAACGGCGGTGTAAATTCTAGACAGCTGAAGAATCAACAATATGAAGGACAAAAACAATCACACACAAGTGCACAAGTAGACATCACACTAACAATCACACAAATGTATAAAGGCTCACAAATATATACATATAGACTCAGTCATATGAAAAAGATGCACAGACTCACAAATAGAAGACACACATTTACCAAGAAACACAAAAGCACACATATAGACACACCCAGAAACACTCACATATTCAGACAAACACAGCCACATACCTCCTAACTGTGCCAGTTATGGTAGGACCATCCTGATTGAATTTGGATCGGATTTGTTGTCCCAGCACATCACACAGATGCTCAATTTAATTGAGATCTGGGGAATTTGGAGGCCAAGGCAACTCATTCAACTCTTTGACATGCTCCTCAAACCATTCCTGAACAGTTTTTGCAGTCTTATAGGGTGCATTGTCCTGCTGAAACAGAGCACTGCCATCAGGAAACACCGTTGCCATGAAGTAGTGTACGTGGTCTGCAACAATCTCTTGGTAGGAAGTACATGTTAAAGTAGCATCCACATGAATGCCAGAACACAAAGTTTTACAGCAGAACATTGCCCAGAGCATAACACTGCTTCCTCCGGCCTGTCTTCTTACCATAGTGCATCCTGCTGCCATCTCTTCCTCAAGTAAATGACGCACTCGGCCATCCACTTGATCTAAAAGAAAACCTGATCCACCAGACCAGACAACCTTTCATTGCTCCATGGTTCAGTTCTGATGCTCACATTCCCATTGAAGGCATTATTTGGATGAATCGCAATTAATTTGAACCTGAATGCACAATTCTACATTCCAAAATTATGCACCTCGCTCTCCAGATAACTAGAGCATCTCTCTTTACACCGCTCTCCAACTGTTGTGGATTTGATAGTATTTGATATATTTCCATATTGAAGGTAACTATAGAAACTGAAATCGATCTCTGCAGAAATAAATGCTTGATGGACTTTTGTTTGGCCTTTCTTGGTGACAAAGAAGGAAGACAAAAAAAAAACCAAGATTTGAAATAGAATATTATTTTTTCAGTTTTTAAAAAAATATGGGGGAGAGGTTAGGGGCTTAGGGTACTCCTAGACAAACAAAGGTGGGCTAGGGGTCCAGGAAACATCCCTTTAGCTTTATAAGCCTAGAAGACTTGGCGTCTCCAGGACTCCTTAGTAATGGAGGAACAAGGACACTAGGGACTGGGCCACTTCACAGGTGCTTGTATATGGATATAGGGGCCCGGGCATCTCCACTATATATGGCCCCAAAAGACTGGGCATCTCCATGCCCCTCCATCAGGATATATTGTACAGTAGACTAATAATGACGTAGGTAAATCTGTGTACTATTTATTGGAGGTTTTATACTTTTCATAGCATGTATTTCACTTCTTATCAAGTTCTTCTATGATATAAGTATATATGGTGAGATAAAATCCATGCCGCAACACAACTATCACTCTAACTGTAATGCAGCCATTTCTTTTGGCTCAATGTTACCTTGCTATGAGGAATAGTCATACTACAACATAACATAGAAATCTAAATTGATTTTGATGCATGAATATTAATGTTTTGAGCCAGAACCTTGAAATCTAATAGTTTGACACTGGGAACTTATCACAGACTTACCTTACATGCGTCACTCCATTCCTATCATCCCTGGCCAGCACTAGCAGCGTCGCCTATGTAGTTACCATAGCACTGTGATTGTTCTGCATTCAGAGCTGAAGGACCACCTCAATTCTTCGTCATAGAACATATGCTGCAAAAATGATTGACAGGTGGGATGAGAATCTATTTTTAAATAGCTATTTCTCCCAATCTATACATTTGCTGGCAAAACTGCTAGCATAATGTTGATATTAAATTATTCTTTTGGTCAAGCCGATGAAACCTATTTGTTTTTACTTGCTGTGCACAGCACTGTGGAATTTGCTATATCAATTAGCAATGATTACGCAGATATTAAACGTGTGTTTTCCAAAAACATATTGACATTCACATGTAATTCTATGCTCGCCCAGGAGGTGGCTTCATATTCTGAATTCATGCATCATCTATTAATAAACAGCACATTGTGGCTTCATGAACTCTCACCTACTTGGCTTCCCCTTGCTAACCATGCTGTGCAGGGAGGTGATCATCAAGATCAAGTGTGTGTCAGAACTTCCTTTTAGAATGCTAGAGCAACTGTAGTTAGTTCTTAACTGAAGCGGAACACTACGAATTGGGGCAAAGGGTACATTTAGTTAAATTATATGTAAGCCTATATAAGGCATATATATAGCCTTGGGCAACTCAGTAAAATGTTTACCACTGTTGAAACAAAATGTGTATTTTATTTACAGATAATAAACACACATATATCACCAGCGATTTTGAAAACATTTGAAGTATTTCAGTGAGATCAAAATCTACCACTTAAAAGCGCACTGCGTTGCGGTGTACTGAGCAGCTGGGGTTGAATCGTCATTCTACATGGCCTTGAACTTGCATGACCTCTCAGGAGCACCTACAGTGCTGTACATGAGCTGTTAGTGTCTTAAAAGGTCTGGCTGATTGATGCTGCTTAGAACTATCAAAGGCAAACTGAATAAAAGTGGCAAGTGTATTAAATTATAGCAAAACTGTACTAAACTATAGCAGTGATGAAAACGTGTGAAAAAATAAAAGCGATATTTACTGTTTCTTCTTATTTTTCATATTTGCGTATTAACCTTCAAAAATCAAAATAGCAAATATTATTGGGCTACCTTGAAAAATAGTGAACGAAAATATATAATGAAAATATTCAGTACCAGAAACACTTGCATCACTATCCTTCTGGTCTTCTGTTGCTAAAGTGGACGTTCTCATTCTATTTATATGTGAGAGAGGTTGCGAGCCGTATGCACCTGGGTATCCTTTGTTTGTGTCAAATGCTTCAATATGGTTTGGAACAGAACAATATTGTAGTGGTTATAGTACTTTGTGTGTCTACTTTACTAATGCACTATAAGAAATTATTACTTGGAATCTTTCCCGTCTTATTCATCTCACAAAAATGATGGGGTTTCTAATAACCCATGCCCCTTTCCCTTGCATCCATAGATCTGAGAAAATAGCCAATGTGTGTAGGCACTGCTTGATCCCCATATTAATCTTTTTTCGGTAATTTTATGAAGCACGTGTTTAAATGTGGCTTACTGAGCTATATTTACTCACTGTCTTCCTGTTTTTCAGTATTCTATTAAGGGAACCTGTTTAATAACATTGTACTGTATGCATTTTATGTTAGCTTCGCTCTACACTTGTTGCTTGAGATTGCTTATCATGGGAAGATAAATTTAGGTAACTCATATGATGTTTATTCTTGCACATTACATTGTAAATTTTTTGGGCAATATCCAGATATGGTACATAGTTTAGCCTTTCTCACATCTGATTTTGCTGTTGATCCATGTGATCTGACTAAGATCATTTGTGGCGTGAATGGAATATTTTAAACAATACTTACAAATGAAGAACAAGTGGATATTCTATGCAGGTATTGGAACAAAATAAACACTGTACTGAAATGTAAACAAAAACTGCTACCTTTAATCCAAAAGTGGTGCTCTCCTGAAACATATTCAGAATGTATGCCTTCTGACCTTGCACAGCATCATTTACTACTGTAACCTATATTGTCACTGCCTTCCTCTAAATGTACTTCATAATGATAAAATCTTTATGAAATACTCACATTGACTGTGTTGGAATTTCACAAAAAATTCAATGCAATCAAAAGATATTATACGGGTGGGGGGGCATAACTTGGAAGATGGAATCACTCTACAAGTCATTAGGGTTTTGAGGCTGACGTTTGGAAACTCGAACCTTCAATTCCCTCCACAGATTTTCTCTGGAATTAAAGGGACACTATAGTCACCAGAACAACTATAGTTGATTGAATTTGTTCTGTGAGTAGAATCATTACCTTCAGGCTTTTTGCTGTCAACAGTCTTTTCAGAGAAAATGCAGTGTTTACATTACAGCAGTGGCGTACTGAGGAGGATGTGGGGGGGGCGGTCCGCATTGGGTGCCATCAGGCAGGGGGGGTGCCACCAGGGCTGGCCAGGCTTGGGAGTCTGTGAGCTGTGTGACTGCACCGGTGCCATAGGAGCAGGGGCACCAGGCAGCTGACACCGCTCACACGCAGGGGCTGGAAGCAGGAGATCTGGCTCAGCTGGCTGCACGGAGAGTTGGGGGCGGAGCTAGAATGGCCGTGGGGGCGAAGTCAAGTTGGATGTGGGGGCGGAGCTAAATGCAGCCTCTCTCTGATCACACAGAGGGGAAGCAAGAAGGAGTCCCTGCTTCCCCAACTACAGCACAGGAGCCAGAGGGACTGAATCCACTCCTCCTCCAGCCCAGGCTTACTGTGAGAGAGAGAGAGTGTGTGCTGTGTGTAACTGTGATTGTGACTGTCTTTGACTGTGTGTGTGTGTGACTATCTGTGACTGTGTGAGTGACTGTCTGCCTGTGATTGTCTGTGTGACTCTGTGTGTGTGTGTGTGTGTGTGAGACTGTCTGTGACTGTGTGTGTGTGTGACTGTCTGTCTGTGACTGTGCGTGTGTGTGTGTGACTGTCTCTGACTGTGTGTGTGTGTGACTGTGTGTGTGTGTGTGTGTGTGTGTGACTGTCTGCCTGTAATTGTGTGTGTGTAACTGTCTGCATGTGATTGTGTGTATGTGAGACTGTGTGACTGCCTGCCTATGATTGTGTGTATGTATATCTGTGATTATGTGAGTGATTGTGTGTATCTCTGTGTATGTTTTTAGTAGATAGCTCCCTTATTTGGTGACTGTCTGTGACTGTGTGTGCGACTGTCTGCCTGTGTGTGTGTGTGTATGTGTGTGTGAGAGACCGTCTGCCTGTGATGATGTGTGTGACTGTCTGCCTGTGATTGTGTGTGACTGTCTGTGACTGTGTGTGTATGTGTGACTGTCTGCCTGGGATTGTGTGTGTGTGTGTTTGACTGTCTGTGACTGTGTGTGTGTATGTGTGACTGTTTGCCTGTGTGACTATCTGCCTGTGATTGCGTGCGTGCGTGCGTGTGTGTGTGACTGTGTGTGTGTATGTGTGACTGTCTGCCTGTGACTGTATGTGGGACTGTGTGTATCTGACTGTGTCTGACGGTCTTCGCCCTGCAGCGAGACGGCAGCCGGGATATGGTGTCATCGCGGCCTCAGCATCATTACAGGGCGTGCGAGGGACCTGTGCAGGAAGAGCACAGAGATCCCAGCGGCAACCACTGACCACCTGGGACTGAGGATCCACTCCAGCCCTTCTAGAGCAAGGTAGGGAGGCTGGGTGGACCTCTTATTTATTAAATGTGTGTATGTATGTAATGTCTGTGTGTGTATGTGATTGTGTGTCTGTGGTTGTATGTGTGTGGGTCTGTGATTGTGTTTGTGTATATCTGTGATTATGTTTGTGATTGTGTGTATCTCTGCGTATGTGTTTAGTAGATAGTTCCCTTATTTGGTGTCCTTAAATATTGCAATCTAATATAAGGATAACAAATAAGGGATTTATCTACTAAACAACTGAAAATAAGAAAAGGGCTTTTTAAATTTTGATCCTTTAGCTGTTTAGTAGATAATTCCCTGAATTGGTGCCCGTATGCGAGATTTCCATATTTAAAGATACCAAATGAGGGTGCTGTTTAGCAGATAGCTCCTTATTTGGTGTCCTTAAATATTACAAGCCCACATAAGGATAGCAAATAGGGGAGTTATCTGCTAAACAAAGATCGAAGTTAAGAGGTGTCAGCCAGCCCAAAACAAGAAATCTGGGTGACTAATGTGAATTATATGCAAATGTGTTGTCAGATGCCAGCATGCAGAGCACAGTGTTTCTGCGTGTGTGTATATGTATCTGCATGTGTGTATGTCCGTGTATGTGTATATGTGCAGACATCTCAAAATCTCGCCAACACTACACACAAATACACTCATGCATTTCAACGTCAACACTACATATAAACCCCACCATTATATATCACCACATCACTGCATTCAAATACCACAAAACACATAAATGCATGCTTGCATTCAAACACCAACACTACATACAAACACACCCCTACATTCACTCACACATACTCCATACAAAAACATGTATACATTCACACACAAACACTGCTCAGTGCTAAATACATTAAAAAAAATTTGGGTTGTTTTTTACATTTAAAGTTGAGCGGGGGTGCCAAAAATAGGACCTGCCACGGGTTCCAAATGCTCTAGGTACGCCCCTGCATTACAGCCTAGTGATAACTTCACTGGCCACTGCTCAGATGGCTGTTAGGAGATCCTTCCTGGGTCATGGCTGCCTAAAATGCATCCAAACATTCAGTACTTCATAATTGTTTTTTGCATTTTTAACACACAAACAAATATAAATGCTAACTTTGGGCAGTGTTTGTGACTAAGTGGCTACTAAAAAAGACTGGACAAACCCCATATTGAATACCGTGGGTTGTCTACTTCAAAAAAATATGTGCATGTGAGGTGTGATTCAGAGATTTATGACAGATAACAGTGTCACTATTGATACATTTTCAAAATATATATTTTGAAACAGTAATGTCCTACTTGTACTTATAGCCCTATAACTTGCAAAAAAAAGCTAAGAACATGTTAACTCAGGACAAAATTTAGAAA